CTCTTTAAAATGTTCGATGTTGTGTTCCCTCAATTTTATGTTTAATGTATTAACCTATAGTAACCTATCACCGTTAGAGACGCTACTGTTGCCCAGGGAATAGACGATACAAGGCATCAAAAAGATGCTTCCCCAAAAATATAATAGAAACAAAATAAATTTATGCAAAAGGAACTGGGCAAGAATTATGATCAACCCTTTCAGAAATTTTAGAGGGCCAGGATAAGAGGGTATGGGACATAGCCGCCCTTCGTTTAAGTTTGGAGTGTCTGAAATTCCAATAGAAAAGAAATTTCCTTATGTTTCGTCACCACAACAATGGTTGCTATTGTTCTAATTATTATATCACATTCAGTAAGTAGAGATTTGAAGAATTTTTAATAAGTATAAATATAAAGCTCTAAATAAAAAAAAATAAAACAAATCTGTATGTCTATAAAAAAAAAGTTTTATCAGAGGTTCTGAGACTCGATAAGGTGGTTTTAAACTATGTGCAGACCTCTTTGATTTCATCATAGACCATATTTAATATTTCAGTCAAAGTATCGATTTGCCTATTAATATGACACTAATTTTAAATGTAATATTCTTCTGCGTTGCAAAGGCTTCAGGTTATTTTGAAGCTTTAATGCCGTTTCCATCGGTTTATCTACAGCCATTTCAGCTGCTCCTTGCTCTCGCTCTGTTTGTGTTGAGCCACAAACAGAGCGAAAGCAAGAAGGAGCAGCTGAAATGAAATGAAATGAAATATTACATAATTCAATCTTGTTGCAGTATACTTACCAAATTTTGAATTGTTAGGATCATCTGTATTATATCAGAAAAGATATAAATAGTGGATGGCCCGCAGGGGCTAGCTTGGTGCAAGCTAGTGGGGATTAACGCTCCCCCGGGTTCCCCAGTTCAGTACACTGCACCCACAGACATAACAGTACACGTCACACACACACACACACACACACACACACACACACACACACACACACACACACAAAGCCACCCACGAAACATCGACTGCGTCCCTGTCTGGGACTCTTTCAAAAAGGGGACACGTCTAATGGCAGACAGCAAATACAATTATAACAAAGAAATAAAATTCTATATCTATTAATTGCTTCTTTTAAGTGTTTTACATTTCTCACTAAAATGTGTATTTCTACATTTTAGGTAGATGCTGAAGGTTAAACGACGAAGTAATAACATAATCCAAAATGATCGGAATGATAATCATTTGCAAGATCCTCTCAGTAACACGGGCAGTTATTGTGCTTTAAACGTGATCATTTACTAATCTCTCTTTCACTGTCTCTTTTACAAGATCCCGAATATCTTGAATAAAATTATCAGATGATACTCTTTGATTTTATCATAGAACGTACTTATGATATCAACCAAAGTATCCACTCGGCTATTAATATAAGACTAAATATAAAATGATATATTAAGCTTCGTAAAAGCTTTCAGGTTATTTTGAAGCTTAAATGCTTTACCATTAGTTTATCAAAAGCCATTTCAAATGCTCCCCCTTGCTATCGCTCATTTTGTGTTGAGTCATGCGTCTCTAAGGGGCTATAAAGTTTCATCTCAATGATAAGATACCTCAAAACAATAGCGATACAGTAGTAGTTGCTAAGATCTAATCTCAACCTTCTTTCGGCAAATAGTATTCCAACTCCTGTCTAACAAGGATGTGGAAATGATTCCCGGTAACCATGAAAGACTCAAAAGAAGTTATTCGTGGAACCGCAGAATTGTAGAGAGTTCCAATCAGAACCAAGTAAAATGCCACCAGGCATTATTGTTGATAAAAATGAAGCCAAAGAGGAATAAATTACTATTGACAATCCCGAATCAGTTGTTATTGGCCAGATAAATGGAGAAAACGATCTGACATTAGAAGCTTCAAGCCCAGCAGTTTGGGTTATTACGAGTTCTGGAAGTTATAAAATCGAAGAAGAAAAATGGAATACGAAACGTAAACAAGGAAATTATTCTCATGAATAGTGGTCGGAGTCAGTCAGTAAAAGGAGAAACGAAATGTTAATCGAGAATGAAATTAAAGACCAGGACATTCTAATTCAGCACGAATCACTCATAAACGAACAGAAGCCATGTAAGAAAGCGCCACAGGAAGCAAATAAATACAAATTCTCCTCAAAAAGCTTTGCAGAAAAACATAGCCGCCTCAAAATCTATTACCGTAAGAAACGCTACTATTACCTAGGGAATATACGATACTATAGGGAGTAGTTGCTAAAATCTAATCTCACCCTTTTTTCGGCAAATAGTATTCCAACTCCTGTCTAACAAGGATGTGGAAATGATTCCCGGTAACCATCAAAGACTCAAAAGAAGTTATTCGTGGAACCGCAGAATTGTAGAGAGTTCCAATCAGAACCAAGTAAAATGCCACCAGGCATTATTGTTGATAAAAATGAAGCCACAGAGGAATAGATTACTATTGACAATCCCGAATCAGTTGTAATTGGCCAGATAAATGGAGGAAACGATCCGACTTTAGAAGCTTCAAGCCCAGCAGTTTGGGTTATTACGAGTTCTGGAAGTTATAAAATCGAAGAAGAAAAATTGAATACGAAACGTAAACGAGGAAATTATTATCATGAATAGTGGTCGGAGTCAGTCAGTAAAAGGAGAAAAGAAATGTTAATCGAGAATGAAATTAAAGACCAGGACATCCTGATTCAGCACGAATCACTCATCAACGAACAGAAGCCATGTAAGAAAGCGCCACAGGAAGCAAATAAAAACAAATTATCCGCAAAAAGCTTTGCAGAAAAACATAGTCGCCTCAAAATCTATTACCGTAAGAAACGCTACTATTACCCAGGGAATATACGATACTATAGGGAGTAGTTGCTAAAATCTAATTTCACCCTTTTTTCGGCAAATAGTATTCCAACTCCTGTCTAACAAGGATGTGGAAATGATTCCCGGTAACCATCAAAGACTCAAAAGAAGTTATTCGTGGAACCGCAGAATTGTAGAGAGTTCCAATCAGAACCAAGTAAAATGCCACCAGGCATTATTGTTGATAAAAATGAAGCCACAGAGGAATAGATTACTATTGACAATCCCGAATCAGTTGTAATTGGCCAGATAAATGGAGGAAACGATCCGACTTTAGAAGCTTCAAGCCCAGCAGTTTGGGTTATTACGAGTTCTGGAAGATATAAAATCGAAGAAGAAAAATGGAATACGAAACGCAAACGAGGAAATTATTATCATGAATAGTGGTCGGAGTCAGTCAGTAAAAGGAGAAACGAAATGTTAATCGAGAATGAAATTAAAGACCAGGACATCCTGATTCAGCACGAATCACTCATCAACGAACAGAAGCCATGTAAGAAAGCGCCACAGGAAGCAAATAAAAACAAATTCTCCGCAAAAAGCTTTGCAGAAAAACATAGCCGCCTCAAAATCTATTACCGTAAGAAACGCTACTATTACCTAGGGAATATACGATACTATAGGGAGTAGTTGCTAAAATCTAATCTCACCCTTTTTTCGGCAAATAGTATTCCAACTCCTGTCTAACAAGGATGTGGAAATGATTTCCGGTAACCATCAAAGACTCAAAAGAAGTTATTCGTGGAACCGCAGAATTGTAGAGAGTTCCAATCAGAACCAAGTAAAATGCCACCAGGCATTATTGTTGATAAAAATGAAGCCACAGAGGAATAGATTACTATTGACAATCCCGAATCAGTTGTAATTGGCCAGATAAATGGAGGAAACGATCCGACTTTAGAAGCTTCAAGCCCAGCAGTTTGGGTTATTACGAGTTCTGGAAGTTATAAAATCGAAGAAGAAAAATTGAATACGAAACGTAAACGAGGAAATTATTATCATGAATAGTGGTCGGAGTCACTCAGTAAAAGGAGAAACGAAATGTTAATCGAGAATGAAATTAAAGACCAGGACATCCTGATTCAGCACGAATCACTCATCAACGAACAGAAGCCATGTAAGAAAGCGCCACAGGAAGCAAATAAAAACAAATTATCCGCAAAAAGCTTTGCAGAAAAACATAGTCGCCTCAAAATCTATTACCGTAAGAAACGCTACTATTACCCAGGGAATATACGATACTATAGGGAGTAGTTGCTAAAATCTAATTTCACCCTTTTTTCGGCAAATAGTATTCCAACTCCTGTCTAACAAGGATGTGGAAATGATTCCCGGTAACCATCAAAGACTCAAAAGAAGTTATTCGTGGAACCGCAGAATTGTAGAGAGTTCCAATCAGAACCAAGTAAAATGCCACCAGGCATTATTGTTGATAAAAATGAAGCCACAGAGGAATAGATTACTATTGACAATCCCGAATCAGTTGTAATTGGCCAGATAAATGGAGGAAACGATCCGACTTTAGAAGCTTCAAGCCCAGCAGTTTGGGTTATTACGAGTTCTGGAAGATATAAAATCGAAGAAGAAAAATGGAATACGAAACGCAAACGAGGAAATTATTATCATGAATAGTGGTCGGAGTCAGTCAGTAAAAGGAGAAACGAAATGTTAATCGAGAATGAAATTAAAGACCAGGACATCCTAATTCAGCACGAATCACTCATCAACGAACAGAAGCCATGTAAGAAAGCGCCACAGGAAGCAAATAAAAACAAATTCTCCGCAAAAAGCTTTGCAGAAAAACATAGCCGCCTCAAAATCTATTACCGTAAGAAACGCTACTATTACCCAGGGAATATACGATACTATAGGGAGTAGTTGCTAAAATCTAATTTCACCCTTTTTTCGGCAAATAGTATTCCAACTCCTGTCTAACAAGGATGTGGAAATGATTCCCGGTAACCATCAAAGACTCAAAAGAAGTTATTCGTGGAACCGCAGAATTGTAGAGAGTTCCAATCAGAACCAAGTAAAATGCCACCAGGCATTATTGTTGATAAAAATGAAGCCACAGAGGAATAGATTACTATTGACAATCCCGAATCAGTTGTAATTGGCCAGATAAATGGAGGAAACGATCCGACTTTAGAAGCTTCAAGCCCAGCAGTTTGGGTTATTACGAGTTCTGGAAGTTATAAAATCGAAGAAGAAAAATGGAATACGAAACGTAAACGAGGAAATTATTATCATGAATAGTGGTCGGAGTCAGTCAGTAAAAGGAGAAACGAAATGTTAATCGAGAATGAAATTAAAGACCAGGACATCCTGATTCAGCACGAATCACTCATCAACGAACAGAAGCCATGTAAGAAAGCGCCACAGGAAGCAAATAAAAACAAATTATCCGCAAAAAGCTTTGCAGAAAAACATAGTCGCCTCAAAATCTATTACCGTAAGAAACGCTACTATTACCCAGGGAATATACGATACTATAGGGAGTAGTTGCTAAAATCTAATTTCACCCTTTTTTCGGCAAATAGTATTCCAACTCCTGTCTAACAAGGATGTGGAAATGATTCCCGGTAACCATCAAAGACTCAAAAGAAGTTATTCGTGGAACCGCAGAATTGTAGAGAGTTCCAATCAGAACCAAGTAAAATGCCACCAGGCATTATTGTTGATAAAAATGAAGCCACAGAGGAAAAGATTACTATTGACAATCCCGAATCAGTTGTAATTGGCCAGATAAATGGAGGAAACGATCCGACTTTAGAAGCTTCAAGCCCAGCAGTTTGGGTTATTACGAGTTCTGGAAGATATAAAATCGAAGAAGAAAAATGGAATACGAAACGCAAACGAGGAAATTATTATCATGAATAGTGGTCGGAGTCAGTCAGTAAAAGGAGAAACGAAATGTTTATCGAAAATGAAATTAAAGACCAGGACATCCTAATTCAGCACGAATCACTCATAAACGAACAGAGGCCATGTAAGAAAGCGCCACAGGAAGCAAATAAAAACAAATTATCCGCAAAAAGCTTTGCAGAAAAACACAGTCGCCTCAAAATCTATTACCGTAAGAAACGCTACTATTACCCAGGGAATATACGATACTATAGGGAGTAGTTGCTAAAATCTAATTTCACCCTTTTTTCGGCAAATAGTATTCCAACTCCTGTCTAACAAGGATGTGGAAATGATTCCCGGTAACCATCAAAGACTCAAAAGAAGTTATTCGTGGAACCGCAGAATTGAAGAGAGTTCCAATCAGAACCAAGTAAAATGCCACCAGGCATTATTGTTGATAAAAATGAAGCCACAGAGGAATAGATTACTATTGACAATCCCGAATCAGTTGTAATTGGCCAGATAAATGGAGGAAACGATCCGACTTTAGAAGCTTCAAGCCCAGCAGTTTGGGTTATTACGAGTTCTGGAAGTTATAAAATCGAAGAAGAAAAATGGAATACGAAACGTAAACGAGGAAATTATTATCATGAATAGTGGTCGGAGTCAGTCAGTAAAAGGAGAAACGAAATCTTAATCGAGAATAAAATTAAAGACCAGGACATCGTAATTCAGCACGAATCACTCATAACCGAACAGAAGCCATGTAAGAAAGCGCCACAGGAAGCAAATAAATACAAATTCTCCTCAAAAAGCTTTACAGCAAAACATAGCCGCCTCCAAATCTATTACAGTAAGAAACGCTACTATTACCCAGGGAATAAACGATACTATAGGGAGTAGTTGCTAAAATCTAATCTCACCCTTTTTTCGGCAAATAGTATTCCAGCTGCTGTCTAACAAGGATGTGGAAATGATTCCCGGTAACCATCAAGGACTCAAAAGAAGTTATTCATGGAACCGCAGAACTGTAGAGAGTTCCAATCAGAACCAAGTAAAGTGCCACCAGGCATTATTGTTGATAAAAATGAAGCCACAGAGGAATATATTACTATTAACAATCCCGAATCAGTTGTAATTGGCCAGATAAATGGAGGAAACGATCCGACTTTAGAAGCTTCAAGCCCAGCAGTTTGGGTTATTACGAGTTCTGGAAGTTATAAAATCGAAGAAGAAAAATGGAATACGAAAGGTAAACGAGGAAATTATTATCATGAATAGTGGTCGGTGTCCTATTACTGTTATGTACGCTACTGTTGCCTAGGGAATAGACTATACAGGGCATCAAAAAGATACTTCCCCAAAGATACAACAGAAACAAAAGAGAATTATGCAACAGGAACTGTGTAAGAATTATGATTAACCCTTTCAGTAATTTTATAAATTAATTTCAATGGAAATTTTGTAACGTAACATCAATCACCGGAATAGCCCACAAGGGCAAATGTGAGTGGCAGAAAATGTCCTGTAATAGGAAAAGGAGGTTTTCCGAACAGGCGAAGAGGGCCAGGATAAGAGGCAATAGGATATAGCCGCGATTCGTTTAAGTTTGGAGTGCCTGAAATGTTAATAAAAAAGAAATTTCATAATGTTTCTTCACCACAACAGTGGTTGCTATTGTTTTTATGGTTATATCACACTCCTTACCGGAATATCGAAGAAAATTTGGAAAGGTATGATTTTATCATAGGAACTAGTACTTTAAAATTGTTGTTTTACGGTCTCTTATTATGGCAAAGAGAAGTAAGGTAAATGTTCCCATAGAGACGCAGTACTCAACACAAGCAGATCGAGAGCAAGAAGGAGCAGCTGAAATGTCTTTAGATAAACTGCTGGAAGGGGCATTAAAGCTTCAAAATAACCTTGAAGCCTTTGCAAAGCAGAATAATATATCAGGTAAAATAAGTCTCATATTAATAATCGAATTGATACTTTGACTGGCATTATAAATACGTACTATGTATAATCAAATTGGTCTGTTCGTATTTTGAAACCAACTTATCAATTCTCAGAACCTCTGATAAAAATTTAAAAAAAATTTATAGACACAGTTTTTTTTGTGTATTTTTTTTCCATTTAGAACGTTATATTTACATCTATTAAAAATTCATCAAATCTCTACTTACTGAATGTGACATAATAATTACAACAATAGTAACCACTGTCGTGGTGACGAAACATGAGTAAATTTCTTTTATTGACATTTCAAACAATATAAACTGAAGAAATGGCCCCTGCTAATAGAAGATTGTATTGGCTCGCACGTCAGAAGAGAGCGGCTGGTAAACTAAAATACGTGTGGCTTTCGGCGGGTAGATTGCGCTGCAGAAAAGGAGATGGCCATCCCGTGATATATATCGACCAACCAGATGATCTAGATGTTTTCTGCTGACCTTCTGATTTACGTCAACCTACAGAATACATCCGTAAACTCCCAATCTTCTATTGTATAATACAGCATCGTGCTGGGTTGCCCATCAACTACTACTGCTATTATTGTTTCTCTATTTTAACCAATGTAATCTTTTGTTTTTTCCTCTTTCATGTTTTTGAACTTAACTCTATTTTGTTTGTATTTTTTTTCTTCTCTTACAGCTATTATTTACTTCTTTCCAAATTGATTTTCACAGTTTCTTCTTACCTACAGCGTCTTCCATCATATGTATACTTTTCTCCTTTCCGTTATGTCTAGCGTCTTAACTACTTGCCATGTTAATTCTCAATCCCTTCCTGCTCACTATGACGAATTTCTCCAATATTTCACCTGTAACTTCTACCACATTATTGCAGTCTCTGAAACATGGCTTAAGCCCTATATCCCTTCCTCTTCCGTTTCCTTATCTGATTATACCTTCATCCGTCATGACCGGGTTCCCCGGACTGGCGGAGGTGTTGGTCTCTACGTACATAATAGCCTGAAACCCCGTATTCTAGATATTTCATCCCCTTCCAATCATCCTCACATTGAATTCCTCTTCGCAGAAATTTCTTGTAAAGCACATCTTCTCCTTTATGTGGTCTTATATCGCCCTCCTTTGACTTCTTTTGATTCATCCTTCGAATCAACATTGTACAATTATGTCCCTTTCTATAATAACATTATAATTTTCGGTGATCTTAATACCAACCTCCTCACAGAATCCAACAACAAACGCTATTTGGAAAATCTCTTCTTCTCCCTCAACCTTTTTATTGTTCCTTTCGCTCCTACACACCATACTTGTTGGTCTGACACCAGGCTGGACTTGCACATCATCGATTCAGAGCAGAAACTCTTGTCCTGTTCTCAATTACCCGTTCCTTTCCTTTCTTCTCATGATCTCATCCAATTATCGTACGATATCCAAACTCCCACGTTTCTTCCTAAAACCATAACTTTCCGCAATCTTGACAACCTCACCCGTGATAAAATCCTACCGGACCTTGAAACCCTAAACTGGAACGATATTTATTCCTGTACCTCTATTGATCATATGGTAGACATCCTCACTTCTAATCTTATCCATATTCTTGACATACATGCTCCTATCAAAACCTCAACCTTCCGTCGCCAACCTGCTCCTTGGATGTGTCAAGAAATCCGCGACATGCAAAAGAGACGTGAGGCAGCCCGTAGACGCTTCAGACGAACTCGACTAGCAGATGACTATCAAGTCTATAGGGTACTCCGTAACTTGACACAAACAACGATCAGGAAAGCGAAATCAAACTTCTTTCACGAAACTCTCTCTTCTGCTCCTGATTCTAAATCAATATGGCTAACCCTTCGTAAACTCTCTCTTTGTAAATCCTCTTCCTAACCGTTCTACCCGGTATCAGCCGATGAACTAAATTCCTACTTTATATCTTCCACCACCAGCAACAGTTCACCCACCTCTCACCAGTTTTCCTTATCACCCTCATTTAACAGTGATAATTTCTATTTCTCCAACATTTCACCGACCGACCTTATTTCCTCTATAATGAAATCACACACCAACTCCATCGGACTTGATGGGATACCAGTCAAACTATTAAAATTATGCCTTCCCGAAGTCGTTCCAGTTCTCCTTTTCATCTATAATTTTTCCCTCCAGAACTCAGTTTTTCCAACTGCTTGGAAAAAAGCATTAGTCAGATCTATCAACAAAATTCCCAATCCTACCTCTCCTAAAGACTACCGCCCAATCTCCATTCTTTCTAACCTTTCTAAACCTCTGGAATGAATAGCTCAATCCCAAATCTCTAAATTCCTTGAAAACTCAAACTACTCGATCCTCTCCAATCTGGTTTCCGACCTGGCTTCTCCATACAATCCGCCCTAGTAAAAATTACCAATGACTTACATACCGCAATGGACAAAAAAATGTTAACTGTGTTAATACTTCTCGACTTTTCCAAAGCTTTTGACTCCTTAGACCACTCTATACTCTATATTAAATTAAAATCTCTATCCTTCTCCAACAGCTCTATCCTCTGGTTGCAGTCTTTCCTATCCGACAGAACTCAAGCAGTCAGCATTCCAAATCAACCCCTATCTTCCTTTCTTACACTGTCCTCTGGAGTGGCCCAGGGTTCGAGCATTTCCCCTCTCCTTTACAATTCCTACATAAATGATCTTTCCAAATCCATCTACCACTGTTCACATCATTTATACGCTGATGACACCCAAATATATTTTTCCTTTCATCCTTCTGAGCTATTAGTCACGTTCGCCAATATTCAGGCTGACCTAGATAGGATCAGTGCCTGGGCAAGTCTGAATAATTTAAATCTAAATGCGATGAAAACTCAGGCCATTATTATAGGTTCCAGTCCTATTCTTAAATCCATCTCCTTCCTTCCTCCTTTAGTCATCAACGATCATCCTGTCACATTCAGTTCATCCGTTAAAAACCTAGGAATCACCATAGACGAAAACCTCTCCTGGAAACCCCATATTGCCCTCATCTCCCGTAAGTCAATAGGTACCCTTAAGCTATTTCATCGCTCCCGCCACCTACTCCCACAACCCATCCGCAAGCTCCTTGTATCCTCTCTCATTTTCCCCCACTTTGACTACGGCTGTGTGGTGTACGGAGGCATCCCGATGGTACTCGAGGATAGATTGAAGCGACTCATGAATACGTGCTTAAGATTTGTCTTCGGTACATCAAAGCGATCTCATGTGTCCCACCTTTACGACGAGTTAAAGTGGCTCTTCCCTTCTTTCCGCAGACAATATTTCCTCGGATCTTTCCTATTCCAAACAATCAACACCAGACACCCTTCTTACATCTACAGTCTCCTACAGTTTAAACCCGTGGTCCACTCCCAGAAAACAAGATCCCGTGTTTCCGACCTTTATATCCCTTCCCATAGAACTAAGACGTTTGAATATTCCTTTATTTCCCGATCCACAGCCTTCTGGAATTCCTTGCCATCTGAAATCCGTCATGCCTCTTCCTTGTCCTCATTTAAATATCATCTTTACCAATTCCTTCTCACATGCCAAAATGACGTTATACAATAAAATAAATATTGTGAAACAGATTTTGACTGAGGTGAATGGTTGATAATATTTATTGAGTCTTAATTTTAAAAATCAACCCATGCTTATTTTATTTTATTTTTATTTTCATTTAAATAATGTTGTTGTTTATTATTTCGTTTTTTCTCAAAATTTTATTTTATTTTTACTTGTTTTAATTTAATTTCACTGAAGATACTGTATATATTCTTTAATATTGATTAATGTAATTTTTGGCCAGATGTAGTTTTAATTTTTTTGTTCATATCTGTTATTCATAAGGGACCTTGTCCCAGAATAAAGTTTACTTTCTATCTTCTATCTATCTATAAACTTAAACGAAGCGCGAATATGTCCCATAGCCTCTTATCCTGGCCCTCTTCGCCTGTTCACAAAACCTCCTCTTCCTATTCCATAACATGTTCTGCCAATCACATTTACCCTTGCGAATCCTATTGGAATTGGAATACTATTTGCCGAAAAAAGGGTGAGATTAGATTTTAGCAACTACTCCCTATAGTATCGTATATTCTCTGGGTAATAGTAGCGTTTCTAACGGTAATAGATTTTGAGGCGGCTATGTTTTTCTGCAAAGCTTTTTGCGGAGAATTTGTTTTTATTTGCTTCCTGTGGCGCTTTCTTACATGGCTTATGTTCGTTGATGAGTGATTCGTGCTGAATTAGGATGTCCTGGTCTTTAATTTCATTCTCGATTAACATTTCGTTTCTCCTTTTACTGACTGACTCCGACCACTATTCATAATAATTTCCTCGTTTACGTTTCGTATTCCATTTTTCTTCTTCGATTTTATAACTTCCAGAACTCGTAATAACCCAAACTGCTGGGCTTGAAGCTTCTAAAGTCGGATCGTTTCCTCCATTTATCTGGCCAATTACAACTGATTCGGGATTGTCAATAGTAATCTATTACTCTGTGGCTTCATTTTTATCAACAATAATGCTTGGTGGCATTTTACTTGGTTCTGATTGGAACTCTCTACAGTTCTGCGGTTCCATGAATAACTTCTTTTGAGTCTTTGATGGTTACCGGGAATCATTTCCACATCCTTGTTAGACAGGAATTGGAATACTATTTGCCGAAAAAAGGGTGAGATTAGATTTTAGCAACTACTCCCTATAGTATCGTATATTCCCTGGGTAATAGTAGCGTTTCTTACGGTAATAGATTTTGAGGCGGCTATGTTTTTCTGCAAAGCTTTTTGCGGAGAATTTATTTTTATTTGCTTCCTGTGACGCTTTCTTACATGGCTTCTGTTCGTTGATGAGTGATTCGTGCTGAATTAGGATGTCCTGGTCTTTAATTTCATTCTCGATTAACATTTCGTTTCTCCTTTTACTGACTGACTCCGACCACTATTCATGATAATAATTTCCTCGTTTACGTTTCGTATTCCATTTTTCTTCTTCGATTTTATAACTTCCAGAACTCGTAATAACCCAAACTGCTGGGCTTGAAGCTTCTAAAGTCGGATCGTTTCCTCCATTTATCTGGCCAATTACAACTGATTCGGGATTGTCAATAGTAATCTATTACTCTGTGGCTTCATTTTTATCAACAATAATGCCTGGTGGCATTTTACTTGGTTATGATTGGAACTCTCTACAGTTCTGCGGTTCCATGAATAACTTCTTTTGAGTCTTTGATGGTTACCGGGAATCATTTCCACATCCTTGTTAGACAGGAATTGGAATACTATTTGCCGAAAAAAGGGTGAGATTAGATTTTAGCAACTACTCCCTATAGTATCGTATATTCTCTGGGTAATAGTAGCGTTTCTTACGGTAATAGATTTTGAGGCGGCTATGTTTTTCTGCAAAGCTTTTTGCGGAGAATTTGTTTTTATTTGCTTCCTGTGGCGCTTTCTTACATGGCTTCTGTTCGTTTATGAGTGATTCGTGCTGAATTAGGATGTCCTGGTCTTTAATTTCATTCTCGATTAACATTTCGTTTCTCCTTTTACTGACTGACTCCGACCACTATTCATGATAATAATTTCCTCGTTTACGTTTCGTATTCCATTTTTCTTCTTCGATTTTATAACTTCCAGAACTCGTAATAACCCAAACTGCTGGGCTTGAAGCTTCTAAAGTCGGATCGTTTCCTCCATTTATCTGGCCAATTACAACTGATTCGGGATTGTCAATAGTAATCTATTACTCCGTGGCTTCATTTTTATCAACAATAATGCTTGGTGGCATTTTACTTGGTTCTGATTGGAACTCTCTACAGTTCTGCGGTTCCATGAATAACTTCTTTTGAGTCTTTGATGGTTACCGGGAATCATTTCCACATCCTTGTTAGACAGGAATTGGAATACTATTTGCCGAAAAAAGGGTGAGATTAGATTTTAGCAACTACTCCCTATAGTATCGTATATTCCCTGGGTAATAGTAGCGTTTCTTACGGTAATAGATTTTGAGGCGGCTATGTTTTTCTGCAAAGCTTTTTGCGGAGAATTTGTTTTTATTTGCTTCCTGTGGCGCTTTCTTACATGGCTTCTGTTCGTTTATGAGTGATTCGTGCTGAATTAGGATGTCCTGGTCTTTAATTTCATTCTCGATTAACATTTCGTTTCTCCTTTTACTGACTGACTCCGACCACTATTCATGATAATAATTTCCTCGTTTACGTTTCGTATACCATTTTTCTTCTTCGATTTTATAACTTCCAGAACTCGTAATAACCCAAACTGCTGGGCTTGAAGCTTCTAAAGTCGGATCGTTTCCTCCATTTATCAGGCCAATTACAACTGATTCGGGATTGTCAATAGTAATCTATTCCTCTGTGGCTTCATTTTTATCAACAATAATGCCTGGTGGCATTTTACTTGGTTCTGATTGGAACTCTCTACAATTCTGCGGTTCCACGAATAACTTCTTTTGAGTCTTTGATGGTTACCGGGAATCATTTCCACATCCTTGTTAGACAGGAGTTGGAATACTATTTGCCGAAAAAAGGGTGAGATTAGATTTTTGCAACTACTCCCTATAGTATCGTATATTCCCTGGGTAATAGTAGCGTTTCTTATGGTAATAGATTTTGAGGCGGCTATGTTTTTCTGCAAAGCTTTTTGCGGAGAATTTGTTTTTATTTGCTTCCTGTGGCGCTTTCTTACATGGCTTCTGTTCGTTTATGAGTGATTCGTGCTGAATTAGGATGTTCTGGTCTTTAATTTAATTCTCGATTAACATTTCGTTTCTCCTTTTACTGACTGACTCCGACCACTATTCATGATAATAATTTCCTCGTTTACGTTTCGTATTCCATTTTTCTTCTTCGATTTTATAACTTCCAGAACTCGTAATAACCCAAACTGCTGGGCTTGAAGCTTCTAAAGTCGGATCGTTTCCTCCATTTATCTGGCCAATTACAACTGATTCGGGATTGTCAATAGTAATCTATTACTCTGTGGCTTCATTTTTATCAACAATAATGCCTGGTGGCATTTTACTTGGTTCTGATTGGAACTCTCTACAGTTCTGCGGTTCCATGAATAACTTCTTTTGAGTCTTTGATGGTTACCGGGAATCATTTCCACATCCTTGTTAGACAAGAGTTGGAATACTATTTGCCGAAAAAAGGTTGAGATTATATTTTAGCAACTACTCCCTATAGTATCGTATATTCCCTGGGTAATAGTAGCGTTTCTTACGGTAATAAATTTTGAGGCGGCTATGTTTTTCTGCAAAGCTTTTTGAGGAGAATTTGTTTTTATTTGCTTTCTGTGGCGCTTTCTTACATGGCTTCTGTTCGTTTATGAGTGATTCGTGCTGAATTAGGATGTCCTGGTCTTTAATTTTATTCTCGATTAACATTTCGTTTCTCCTTTTACTGACTGACTCCGACCACTATTCATGATAATGATTTCCTCGTTTACGTTTCGTATTCCATTTTTCTTCTTCGATTTTATAACTTCCAGAACTCGTAATAATCCAAACTGCTGGGCTTGAAGCTTCTAAAGTCGGATCGTTTCCTCCATTTATCTGGCCAATTACAACTGATTCGGGATTGTCAATAGTAATCTATTCCTCTGTGGCTTCATTTTTATCAACAATAATGCCTGGTGGCATTTTACTTGGTTCTGATTGGAACTCTCTACAATTCTGCGGTTCCACGAATAACTTCTTTTGAGTCTTTGATGGTTACCGGGAATCATTTCCACATCCTTGTTAGACAGGAGTTGGAATACTATTTGCCGAAAAAAGGGTGAAATTAGATTTTAGCAACTACTCCCTATAGTATCGTATATTCCCTGGGTAATAGTAGCGTTTCTTACGGTAATAGATTTTGAGGCGGCTATGTTTTTCTGCAAAGCTTTTTGCGGAGAATTCGTTTTTATTTGCTTCCTGTGGCGATTTCTTACATGGCTTCTGTTCGTTTATGAGTGATTCGTGCTGAATTAGGATGTCCTGGTCTTTAATTTCATTCTCGATTAACATTTCGTTTCTCCTTTTACTGACTGACTACGACCACTATTCATGATAATAATTTCCTCGTTTACGTTTCGTATTGCATTTTTCTTCTTCGATTTTATAACTTCCAGAACTCGTAATAACCCAATCTGTTGGCTTGAAGCTTCTAAAGTCGTATCGTTTCCTCCATTTATCTGGCCAATTACAACTGATTCGGGATTTTCAATAGTAATCTATTCCTCTGTGGCTTCATTTTTATCAACAATAATGCCTGGTGGCATTTTACTTGGTTCTGATTGGAACTCTCTACAGTTCTGCGGTTCCATGAATAAGATCTTTTGAGTCTTTGATGGTTACCGGGAATCATTTCCACATCCTTGTTAGACAGGAATTGGAATACTATATGCCGTAAGAAGGGGAACATTAGGTCTTAGCAACTACTCCCTATAGTATCGTTTATTCCCTGGGTAACAGTAGCGTTTCTTACGGTAATAGGTTTTGAGGCGGCTATATTTTTGTGTCAAGCTTTTTGGGGAGAATTTGTTTTTATTTGCTTCCTGTGGCGCTTTCTTACATGGCTTCTGTTCGTTTATGCATGATTTATGTTTTTTGCAGTTGGTTTTTAATCTTGGTTGTTATTTTCATTCTTTATTCGAATTTTGTTTCTTGTTTTACTGACTCTGACGACTATTCATGATAATTATTTCCTCGTTTCCGTCTCTTATTCTATTTTTTAACTTCATTTGCATCACTTCTAGAATTTGCAATAACTGCTCTAACTCTAACTGCTGGGCTGGATGCTGCTAATGGTAGATCGTTTCCTCTATTCATTTGGATGAAACCAACTGATTCTGGATTCTTAATAATCCTTCTTATTTCTTTACTAAACAATGTTTTCCGCGAATTATTTGCACGGTCCAACTAGTTATATTATATTCAGAAATAGAAAAATTATATTGAATTTTGTAAGGCGTTAACTATACAGCTAGATAGGTAAATTCCAGTAACAGTAATCTTTGTACTTTAGTAAGATAAGTCGGAGTGATTCTGGTATAACTACTCTTATTCCCCACATGAGACATCCTTTATCCAGCGATAATTCTAGTTTCTTTGAGAAAAACTTCTTTTCGCTATCAGATAAAGTCTTAATTTCAGTTGGCCACCCCGCGGCTACCAAATTTGTCACCTTGCTTAATATTCTATCTTTGACTGATTCAGTGACTACTTGTTTGACTCTGAACTCTATTATAAGTGTCCTTAACTGTGACAAATTGTAATATTTCTGAATAAAGTGTTTTAATAATAAAAAAACTTGTTTGTAATTCAACAAAGGCATCCCCTCATCCTCATAGTTATGAGCTGTAAATTCTGTATCAAATACCGGAGTGTGGTCAGTTAAAGGCAATCTTGACAAGGCATCACAGTTACCGTTCCCTGACCACTTTACGACTTCTATACTGTAAGTGAATCCTGAAAGATAATAAGCCCATCTTTGTAATATATTTTGAATTGTGAAAGATAGATTGTGAAATAATTTCCAAAAATATATTTCAAAGGTTCATGGTCTGTTTTAAGAATGATGTGAGCTCCATAGACATACTGGTAAAATTTCTTGCAGCCAAAGATGATGGCAGCAGCTTCTTTATCAATGATTGCCCTATGCCTCTCAGTTACCGGAATTACTTTCGGTGCAAATGCTATGGATTTTTCCTCTCCATTCTTGAATTTATGAGAAAGGATCGCTGACAGTCCATATTGACTAGCATCGCATGACAGGACTAATTGTTCATTCGGATCAAACAATGTCAATACCTTATCTGACACGATTTCTTTCTTGATCCATTTGAAACTTTCCTCACATTCTTCGGACCAATACCACCTATCTGACTTAGCAGACCATAAAGACAACTCAGTTTATCAGCTCTGTGCTTCAGAAATGATTCTTAATAATTCACCAATCCAAGAAAACTCCTTAACTGTTTGCAATCTTTAGGCCTTGGAGCACCAGTGACTGCAATAACCTTACTTTCTGCTGGATGAATTCCTTGTTTATCCAGAACAAATCCTAAAATCTCCAACTTACTTTTTAAAAATTCACACTTTCTTTCATTTACTTTTAAGCCTGCGTCATTTAAGCGCCTACATATTTCGGTTATGATAGAAATGTGCTCTTCATCTGTTCTACCTGTACAATAAATATTATCAATGTAAACTTCAGTGTAAGGAATTCCCTTAAGTATTTCCATTAAAATTTCCTGACATTCTCCAGGACTGGACGCCACGCCCTCAGGTAGTTCGGTATATTGAAATAACCCTTCATCTGTAATAATCGTTAGTGCTTCTTTGGAAATTTCATCAACTCTAAATTGCATGAATGCATGTGCTAAATCAATCTGGGACCATTTACTGCCAACTTGCAATTTACTTGGCACCGGTTGACGTTTGATAATTAAATGTGGATTGACGGTTAACTTAAAGTTACCACACACTCTAACTTGTATGGTACTCTAACACTCTAACCCCATGGTAGATCTATCAGAATCTGCTGTACTCCAGACATGTGTTTGTCACAGTGCTTGAGGCCTCGTATCTGTTGGATGACTGGTAGTAAGTAAAATGCAAATAAATAAAATTCATTACACATTATTTGCTTATTTTATGTGTTTTTTTTATCTTTATAAAGTGTGTAATATAATTTTTAGGTAGATCCTAAACATTCCACGAAGAAGTAACAGCGAAATACAAACCGATGGGTATGAAAACCAATGTAACTATCAATAAATCAATTATTTATATTTATTATTTATTATTAATACTACAGTTAATAGTACAAAAAACTTTAATAGATTTATATCATATAATTAAATATATGATATTCACCCTTTTTTAGATTTTATTATACTCTGAAATAAAAAAAATTTATGAAGTATTAACTATACTGCATCGCTTTTTGTAGATTTGCGGATCTCAAACGAAAATTGTGAGAGAAATACTTATTGTACTTCTTTGTCCTCCTCACAATGCCATTTCTAACGTCGAGAAGCCTCTATCCAGCGCAGCCATTCCGTGAAGATTGGCCACATCCGAGGCTAGGAAGGTCTATCTCAATCTGCTGTACTCCAGAAATGTGATTTTCACAGTGATAGAGGCCTCGTATCTACTGAACAACTGGTGGTAAGTAAAATGCAAATAAATAAAATTCATTACACAATATTTGCTTATTTTATATGTTTATTTTTCTTAATAAAGTGTGTATTATAATTTGTAGGTAGATTCTAAAGATTCGACGAAGAAGTACCAACAAAATACAAACCGATGGGTATGAAAACCAATGTAATTATCAATAAATCAATTATTTATGTTTATTATTTATTATTAATACTACAGGTAATAGTACAAAAAACTTTAATAGATTCATATCATATAATTAAATATATGATATTCACCCTTTTTTAGATTTCATTATACTCTTAAATAAAAAAAAATAAAAAAAATTATGAAGCATTAACTATACTGCATCTCTTTTTGTAGATTTGCGGATCTCAAACGAAAATTGTGATACAAATACTTATTGTTCTTCTTTGTCCTCCTCACAATGCCATTTCTAACGTCGAGAAGCCTCTATCCAGGGCAGCCATTCCGTGAAGACTGGCCACATCCGAGGCTAGGAAGATCTATCTGAATCTGCTGTACTCCAGACATGTGATTGTCACAGTGCTAGAGGCCTCGTATCTGCTGAACAACTGCTGGTAAGTAAAATGCAAATGAACGAAATTCATAACACATTATTTGCTTCTTTTATATGTTTATTTTTCATAATAAAATGTGTATTCATAATTTTTAGGTAGATTCTAAAGATTCGACGAAGAAGTACCAACACAATACAAACCGATGGGTATGAAAACCAATGTAATTATCAATAAATCAATTCTTTATGCTTATTATTTATTATTTATACTACAGATTAAAGCACAAACAAGTTTAATAGATTTATTTCATATAATTAAATACATGATATTCATCCTTTTTTAGATTTTATTATAATCTGAAATAGAAAAAATAATGTATGAAGCATTAACTATACTGTTATACAGGTAACTTGTAACAATAGTAATTTTCTTTTTATTACAGATATTTAATTTACATCACTAATATCTTTTTTTGTAGAAATGCGGATCTGAAACGAAAATGGTAAGTAAATTAAAAGGAAATAAAATTCATTCTATCTTATTCGCTTCTTTTAAATATTTTTTTTCTCACTGAAGTGTGTATTCCGATTTTTTAGGTAGATATTGAAGATTCGACATTGTAGTAGGAACGTAATCCAAACCGCTTTGCATGAAGACCAATATTATTGTCAATAAAGCATTTATTTTCATATTTAATTTGTTTTTTTGTTTTTTTTAATTTGTTTTTTATTGCTTAAAATATGAAAAAAATAATTTGTTTTTATTTATCCAACAGACATTTTTACATAAATACTTTATAAGATTTATTTCTTACACACTAAATTTATTTTATAATTTTTTTTTAATTTCATGATTTTGTATAATATATTAATACTAAGAACAATAAAATATTATTATCCCATATTACCTTATTTACTTTTGTTGACGTATGCTTAGCGAATTTTGAATTGATAGGTTTATTTGCATTATATTACTAAATAGAAATATTGGATGGCCCGCAGGGGCTAGCTTGGTGCAGTGGAGATTAACGCTCTCCTGGATTCCCCAGTTCAGTCATATATAAAGTCAACACCGATTGCGAACTTCTGTCTGGGACTCTTTCCAAAAGGAGACATCTAAAGGTAGAAAGTAAGAAACTATTCTCCTCTCTAAAATATGGATAAAATAGAATCATTTGAATCAGATGATTTTCTTTTGTATTACAGATAAATATTTTGCATCACCAAATTCGTTTTTTGTAGAAATTCGGAACTGATACAAAAATGTTAAGGAAAATACAAGCAAATAAAATTCTTCAAACAATTTTTGCTTCTTGTATATGTTTTTTTATTTCTTACTGAAGTATTTATTCTTAATTTTAGGTTGATTATGAAGATTTGACGACGAAGTATGAACAAAATCCAAACCGATGTGTATGAAAATAATCATGATTGTCAATCAAGCATTTATTTATATTTATTTATTTTTATTTATAATATAGATATTAGTACAGAAATACTTTTTTAGATTTATTTGTCATAATTTACTAAATGATATTTTCAATAAATGTCCTTAACATTAAAACTAATATATCACTTAAAGTATATATATATATATATTTTATATATATATATATATTATATATATATATATATATATATATATATATATATATATATATATATTATATATATATATATATATATATATATATATATATATATACTTTTTTTTCCAGTTGGCGCTGCAGACAATGAAGATCTTTGTCCGCGAGATGTGGTCTCCTTGACATCATAGAATTATATATAAATAAATGGATATACAAATATATATGTATAATGTATATATAGAGGATTAGAAGGAACAATAAAGCAGTCTTGATTCCGACTTCATGCGTTTCATTTCGTGAACCTCTTACTTTTTATTAAGTATTTAAAGTCCACTACGCTTAACTGGTGCCGAAACCCGGGAAATTGAGAGTACAGAGGTACGTTTTTTTCAGTCAGATAAACATTCACAAGGTTGCCCGAGGAGTGCAGTTAAGGCCGGCGGCCCCTCTGAGCGTACCGGAGATCCCTCCATTACCGCAGGGAACATTAGCCGCGGCACATGCAAATGCGATTGAATGGATGAAGATCAGGTTAGCCACTTCACAGGACCTGAGGAAGGTTGTATCCGATCTCGAGCGCTTCACAGAAGAAGTGGGTGAGTTGAACCATTTTTTAAAGGGTGGTGATCGTCTGATAGGAGAAAATCTTATCAATGCTGGAGACGCGGAAGCCCTTAAGGCGGCTCTAGTATGCAGAGTAAAAAGAAGCATCGTAAACCACACAGGCGGACGAAGAGACACTGTGGGAAAGAGTCAAAGAAAGACTAAAGAAGTCTTCACGGCAGTCAAACGGACAGTATGCTGCAACACTCTTAGCTCACTATAACCGTATTACTGAGAAGATGAGAGAAACAGCAGGCGTGCCGTAGGTAGAAGCTAAGATGGCATTCTTGTCCACTATACTGAAGGTGCAATTGGCTAATGAAACCGGGAAGAAAGAAGGCTTACCCAGGTAACGCTCATTTATTGAATGTGCTCAAGAGATGGTGGATTCCAGCTCCCGAGATGAGGAAACCCAGTTAGAAGTGGAAGAACCAGGGTGGAAAAGAGTGTTCTATAAGAGGTCTAGGAGTACACCAACGGCCTGGAAAAGGAGAGAGTCCGCATACAGCGGGAGAGAGAAGCCCACAGGAGCAGAACGAAGACCAGGGCAAAGTAGAGCAAGGGCTAGCCAACGGAAAAAAAAACAGGAGATGTCATGGCTGTGGAAAGAGTGGACACTTGATGGCACAGTGTCCCCGCACGAAATGCTTTGGGTGCGGGACTGAGGGACACATTGCCCGTATATGTATTCGAGAAGAGACTCACAACGAATAGAGCCGATGGAGGTAAATGCTCAAGGGTTGAGGAGAAGAAACATTCAAGGAGGAGTGAGTCAGCAAGAGAGTCTTCAGAAGAATCCGTAGCCACGGAGACAGAGGAAGAGCTAGATGACCAGGCAAGCCGTGAAAACGAGAGGAGCAGAGAAGGGCGAAGAAGCAGCGGAAGAAGCGGACGGCGGCAAGCCGCGGAGAGGATGTGAGGAGAGTGTCAGCCGAGGGGTGACCGCACTCTAATAAGTTTTAACATCAGAGGTGAAAGCTGCTGGTTACCTATAATAGAGGTGGGAGGAGTGCGATGCCTGGTAGACACCGGGAGTTCTAATACCATCATGACGAGTGGAGTGTTGGAAAAGCTGTACGGTGGAGGGAGGACACTCCAAATCAAGGTATGTAATTGTAAGTTAATCACCTTTGGTGGCCCGTGTGGAGTAGAAGGGGAAGTGGGGATAGGATTGGGGAGGTGGGCAGCCAAGGGAGGTAAACTTACGGTGCATGTGGGGGGAGAAATGCCGCGGGAATACCAGGTAATTATAGGGTGTGATATGTTGGGAAAGGTGGACGTGCGAATCACAAATAGAAAGGAGGAGTGGAAAATAGAAATAGGGCGAATCAGGTATACGAGCAGGGCGGCAATAAAGAATGAAGACAGTAGGGCATGTATAGGAGCTATAAGTCGAGCTGAGGATTGGAGAGTAGCTGTGAGAAGGGGGTTCGAAGACATTTTCTTTAAGGAGGGGGATCCACTGGGGGTGACGGGCAGTACGGTGCACGAGATTCCGCTGAAGCACGGAAAGGTAAGCTATGTGAAAGAGAGGAGATATCCGCAGGTTCTTCGCCAACACATTAGGGAAGAGTTGCAAAGTTTAAAGGAACAGGGTATAATTGTTGATAGCACGTCACCATACAATAGTCCGCTATGGGCAGTGAAGTAGAAAAGCGCGCCCGGAGATGATAAGTAGAAATACTGGGTAATAATTGATTACCGCAAACTTAATGAGAATACCGTAGATGAAAAATATCCAATCCCGAAGTTTGAGGATATTTTAGATAGGTTCAGCGGGGCAACGGTATTTAGTACTCTAGACTTAAAAGCGGGATATCACTAAATTAGAATGCTCCTGAAAGACCAGTCAAAGACAGCTTTCACATTCGAGAGGGGCATTATGGATTTACGAGAATGCCGTATGGTCTCAAGAACGCCCCTATAACATTCCAGCGGCTGATGGACGAGTTGCTAAGGGGGATTGATGAAGGGATGTGCCAAATTTACATGGACAACTTTTTGGTGTTAATAAAACCGAGGCAGAGCCCGTGGAGCATCTACGGAGGGTATTTGAGAGAGTGAGACAATTTGGGCTGAAATTGTCTAACAAGAAGTGTTTGTTAGGGCAAGATCACATATTTTTTTAGGTCACACGATCTAGAGTGAGGGAATCAAATCTGAAGCGCGAAAAGTGGAGGCAATTAGGAAAATGGCAATACCTAGGGATGTAAAAGGGATCCGCAGATTGTTGGGAACCATTAATTATTATAGAAGGTTTGTGCCCGAAATGGCGGAATACCTCGTGCCTCTCAACAATTTATTAACGAAAGGCAGAAAGGTGATAGTAACCCCCATGATGGAGGACAACATTCGGAAATGCATGGCGCGGCTGCAAGAGGAACCAGTGTTAGCGTTTCCGGATTTTTCAAAATTATTCACCATCACAACAGATGCTAGGGAATACGCGTTGGGGGCTGTGCTATCCCAAGAAGGAAATGGGGGTGACCGTTCCGTAGCGTATGCCAGCAGGCGGCTTACGGACGCTGAAACCAGGTATAGCCCGCTGGAAAGAGAACTGTTGAGGATCGTGTAAGCTATCGACCATTTCAGACCCTATGTGTTTGGGAGGAAATTCCGCGTGCCTCACACCCACCATAGACCCCTACAATGGACAGGCAAGCTGAGAGAGTCCTCGGCTAGGGTCACAAGATGGAAGGAGATTTTGAACCAATATAATATGGATATTATATACAAGCCCGGAAAAGAGAATGTGGTGCGGACTGGCTATCAAGGGCGATTACTGTAAATGTCATAGAAGAGGACACAGAGGAGTCGTCGAGAGACGTGCTACAGTTATTGAGGGAATGGACGCCAGAAGGGGAAAGAGGACAGTCTGTAGAGGAAGATGGGGGTGGAGATGATTCCCAAGAAGAAGGGAGCCCAGCGGGAGAGAGGTCGGCTGACATAGAGGAGCTAGAGGAGATTATTAATGACAAAAAGCGTCAGGTAATTTGGAAGACCAGCACTTCGGGTTTAATGAAAGTGCAGTACGGCAAATCACAGAATCACAACCATTTGGTCACAGCCAGAAGCGAGGGGGGACCAGATCTGTAGAGCTCTGAAGGACGCTTCCAAACCTGAGAAAAACTCAGCACTTATACGTGGGGAACGGGACTATCTGGGAGAAAATAAAAAGAATATGCCGGTCTGAACGAATCGGGCTAGACAGAACGTTCGTTCGTTGCAAGTTGATGGTGGACAAAGTGCGAGACGAAGAACAGCAGAAGGCGGTGACACTCGCTTATCACCAGGGCAAGACCAACCACCGCGGAGCACAGGAGACATTTCAAGCGTTACGTCGTAAATATTTTTGTTGGGGAATGAAGAAAACGATAGCGGAACTCATAGGGATCTGCGAGGTTTGCTCGAATACGAAGTACGATAGGCACCCCCCAAGATCGATGCAAGAGGAGACACCCACAGTTGATGCACCGCTGAGCGACATGCAAGTGGATACGTTCACGTGGAGAGGGTATAAGTGGGTCACGCTGATAGACCTGTTTAGCAAAGCAGCGATGGCGTACCTGGTGCAGGATCGATCAGAAGAGACAGTATTAGAAGACCTTCAGACGTGGTTCCAGTTTTATGGAGTGCCCGACCACATAACGTCCGATGGGGGTAAGGAATTTGACAATTCCAAGATCAGATCTGAAATGAACAACTTAGGTGTGAAGTGGCATCTTAACATTCCAGGGCACCCCAAGAGCAGGGGGAGTATAGAGAAACTGCACAGTACCCTCAGTGACCATCTAAGAGTATACCAGGTGGAAAAAGGGCTGGAACCGGCAATATGGCAATAATCATTCCATACATACGGCAACGGTGTTCTCTCTATTCGAAATTCCCTTCGGATTACGCGGGCGGCAACGGGACTGGAGGCACAGCTGCGGACGAGGAAATGACAGGGAGAATGATTAATAATAAAATGGAATTGGGCAACCTATGGGAGAAAGTTTAGGGGAAAATAGAGAGAGAAAAGCGCAAAAGAGTGGCGCGGGAAAATTTAAAAGTAAAGGAAGTAACAGAGGGATTGAAAATCGGGGCTGCAGGTTAGGCTCTAATATGGGGAAGGAATTGCGGAGATATGAGGGCCCATTCAGGGTGAAAATCATTAGGAAGCATAATGCTGTGACTATTGAGAGTGTCAAAGAACCAAAAAAAAGAAGGACGGTTCACATATAACAG